AGGAACTCATTTCTAATGAGAAACAAATTACTTGAGGAACCTAGAGTACATACACATATTTCAAGAAATACTACATTTGACAGTAAATTATGCTAGCTAAACAGATACAGAACTATCAAGACCAGAACATAATTGCAAACAAATATGTAGGAAAGTTTACCCCAGCATCCCAGTGCTGTCACTTGGTTCTTATGCAGAGCTCTGGGCTGAGTTGAACTGGAAGGGTGAGACAGGGCACCAGACCCGACATGATTACCATCTCAGCCCGTACAGCCAAGTGTTGCCCAGGTACCTCGTTAACCTGCAGTTCATTAGCAAAGGGCTATGTAAGCTGTACATGTATAAGGATTCAAACATCTTCCTGCTCTACAATCAAAAAAGCAATGATGCTAACTCCCACCTTCGGCTTAGGACAGCCTAAGTACTGCATCCTACCGAAACTGCTAGCATTGCGAAGGGGAGGGTGTTCCCAAGAGGAGCAGGCTGGCTGATGTCAGGTTTTTCAGGGAAGAGCGTGGGTTTGCTTTCCCACCCTGTCCCCCTTTCTTCAAGCCATCGATAAACTTCAAAGGTTATGTTTTTAATATGCCGTGACTTTGCATGGCATTACTGAACACAGATCGTATGGTCCAGTAGAATAAACATGCAGTTCTTGGGAGGAAAATATCCAGGCATCCAGCAAGCTGCTGGATCTGAAATTACGTGCTAAATATCAGGAGGTAAATTAAAAACTTTGTGTGTGATCATTTTTATGCTCATATCACAATATTCATTAGTTACCAGGAAAACTTTTAACTGCAGATACCATGCTTGAAAATATTATAATAGAGAAGACAGTAAGGAACCATCAGCGTGGTAATAAAATCTTAAGCGTACCTGATGCTTCCAACTACAATATTTTGGTTTTGAGAATCCCAAAGCATTTCAAAGGCGGTTAATCAGAGCACCCTCACCACAGCCCCGGAGGCAATTTTCCTATCTGTTCCAGAGAACAAACGGCGGAGCAGGAAGGTGTAATCACCGGTGCAACGTTTGCCCAGACAGAAATGGTTTCCAAACATCTCAACTTTCTATCCCTCACTGTAAAGATTAGACTCCTAAATACTGTCTGATGTTTGATATCTTCTTTTCTTTTAGCAGCAAACCACCTTTCTAGCCTTCCTGATTGTCAGCATTGCTTTGATACAAAATACATGGTTCTTCTCTTACATTAAGTGATTATCTTGGGGATAAAATCAGGAAATTCCCTCATTTTCTTCAGAACACAGGAAACAAGGGAACATTAAGATTTAATTTCACCTCATCAGTAGTCTACAAGGCTGATAAGAAAGAGTCTGTAAGGTTGCTACTCCAGTCTTCAGAAGCTCTTAGCCACATTAAAAAAAAACAAGGTCTTTTATTATAATTAACCATCTTTTATTAAAGCTTTCCCTTATTTTCCTTTCTTTGCTTCTTTCCCCCTCATAGTTTTTACATCTTCTTTCATTCCTCCCTTTGATGTTTGCATGCTTGTCATACTTTTATTGAAAACATTTTGCACTACTCATTCCCACCCCATCTCCCCCCGTTTTAGAGGACCACATTTTTCCTGGGTCTGACTTTGCCTCTGCCCTCTACAGCTCAGTGAGAGCCATAGGGAACATACGCTCTGGTGACAGCGTTCATTACAAAGTGGCGCATGTACAAAACACCTTCCATCTCTCCCATTTCTTTTGTCTCTCACCTACACAGGGAATGTAACCTGTTCCCCTTGATGTGAAGATTTATTCAGGACTTATTAAAAAAAAAAATTGAATCTGTCCTTTCAATTGTATACTTAGTGCAACTATCAACGTTACCGTTAAAAGGAAGATAACATAAGAGTGGCACCTTCTTTACTTACATACGTCTAAAGACTCATCTGAATCATCAGGGCAATCGGGCTCTCCATCACACAGCCAGTGCTGGGAGACACAAGTCGCACGATCACGACACAGAAACTCTCCTACGTCACATAACTGATGTTCTTCTGAAAATGAGAATGTGTTAGAATGCAATGATTAAACATGAAGGAAAATAAAGTGGCACAATGAAAATGAAAGGTGAAAATATAGGGATTCTGAAATCAGAAATCAAAGCAAATGACAGAAACAATGTGAAGTAACAATTTAATGATATCTTTAATGCTCTTACTTAGGCTGTAGAGCCCTAACATCCAGTTGCAGTGTTCCAGTGGGAGCATCCCATAACCCTTCTAACCAGACACAAACAGCATTAGCATAAACTACCTCTATGAAAGAGAATTTTAAGATTTTTTTTTTTTCCTCTGTTTCACCATGAAGTAAATTTGCTCACTAGATAGAAATCAACAAGCTTTAATTTCATATTATCAGCAGGGAGGTACCCCATACTTGAAAATCGCAGTTTCAAGTAATTAAATTTCCAAGGATGTATTTTTGTAAGCAAAGGCCTTTTTCAATAAACACATATATTTTTTTACTATTTCTTTAGGTGCAAATTTTAAACGTAGGCCAATCCTATCTCAGGCTTATATAAAAATGATTTTATATTTCACGTGACAAAGTTGCAAACAGAGGATTTAGTCACTTACGGTCAACACTGAGGCACCTTGAAAACAACAGCCTCAAACTATCCCAAACTATCTGCTGGATTCAACCACCAAAGTCTGATGTCCTCAAGATCTAGAGTTAATTAACTTAAGACTATTCAATCATTAATGTAAAACTATTCTAACATTAATTAAAGCTCACAAACCCTCTGTGCAATACATTATACGCATTTTATCAATGTATAAGTTGCAGTAGTGCCTTCCACATTGCAGATTGCTGGGAAAGGGTTTCTCGAGTATTCTTACACTGATACAAGTGAGAAATAACTTCACTGGAGTCAATACGGTTACAAAGACATAAACCCAGGTATAAATAAGAAGAGAATTGTTCCACTTGTACATCCATCCATTGGGTTAGTTCACACCAAAAGCCAATGGATGCTGTTATTTTTTGCTTATCAGTATCAGCACGC